CTGCCGTACAGTTTATGCCGATGAATATGCTGCCGTGCCATGTAGCTCGAATTAATCGGTTCGAAACATTGAATTAGCGCTGCTCGAAAGTGCGTCTATGACCCTTCGCCTCGGATTTCATTATTGTTGTAATCCACTCGAGCGCCGGGCCTCGCAACAGTGTCGCTGCGAGCCGAATCCGCATTGTATCGTGTGTCGGGGTCGTATAGCCAACGGCCTCGAAGTAAATTTCGAGGGTCGCAATGAATCGACGAACGTCGGTGTCTCTCGCATTCGAATTGAGCGTCTCCGGTAGCCTCGGATATGCTGCCTCAAGATTCACTGTAGTTGCTGCCGCTGTTGCTGGGTGAAGTGTCGGTGTCGCCGCTGCTGCTGCTGGGTGTCAGTAGATCTGCACTGTGGATGCCCGATTGATCCTGGAGAGGGTTAGAGGCGCGTTCGCCTGGGGGGTTATGGGCGCACTAACCCGCTACTAAAACAAGCCCTTTTATCCCAATGGTCTAGTGGTTGGTATTCTGACATGGTATCAGAGCGGTCTCGGGTTCGATTCCCGGTGTATGCACATGTAGGCCGTTGCCGCTGTGCTTAGTCCTGGGCCTCCTTGTGTGGGGGGGTGTCAGTAGATCTGCACTGTGGATGCCCGATTGATCCTGGAGAGGGTTACAGGCGCGTTCGTCTGGGGGGTTATGGGCGCACTGACCCGCTACTGAAACAAGCCCTTGTATCCCAATGGTCTAGTGGTTGGGATTCTGACATGGTATCAGAGCGGTCTCGGGTTCGATTCCCGGTGTATGCACATGTAGGCCGTTGCCCCTGTGCTTAGTCCTGGGCCTCCCAGTGTGGGGGGGTGTCAGTAGATCTGCACTGTGGATGCCCGGTTGATCCTGGAGAGGGTTACAGGCGCGTTCGCCTGGGGGGTTATGGGCGCACTGACCCGCTACTGAAACAAGCCCTTTTATCCCAATGGTCTAGTGGTTGGGATTCTGACACTGGCGTCGCTGCTACATTCACCACTACGTTCGCTGCTGCTGTGGCGGTTGCCGACTGGTTCGCGAGAAGCTCCTCTATTCGCTAGAGTGCCGCTCGCATCTAGTCCACGTTGGTGTGTAACTCCGTAATTTTTCGTACGTAATGATCACCATTTTTCTCCATGTGGCGATTTATAGGAAGATTTGCGATGAAAATAACTGAATTCTATGATCTGGTCGACTTACTGCGAGTCGAATCGACTATAGAAATTACGAGAGCTGATTCTGTAGATCGCGTAATTTTCTCTTAGTCGAAATTCACGCCCGATCTCGGCCATTGAAAAGAATTTTGATCCGAAATTCCAAGAGTTGACGGTCGAAATTCCAATTTTTTTGCCCCTGGACCTGAGGAGTGTTCAAAAACTGGTTCGATGGGGACGTTAAAAACTAGGGCGAAACTGGTTTACATACCTGAAATCGGCGCTTTTCGTCGTCGCTCCCGCGGTTTTGAAAGCTAGGTTTTTATCGGTCGAAAACTTCGCGTGTAAACAAGCTCTGATTATCAGGTGTGAGGATCTAGGATCGAGCTCAGGAAAGAGAGTTGGACTTGAATGATCCACCTGGGTACAACACGAGGCTATATATAGTCTCGACACAAGGCCAGTTACCCAGGTGTTACGCGAATGTTATGAGGGTCGCGAAGCGTCCCTAACGGAATCTTCCCGAACTCAGTAGAAAGCAATTTGGTGGAAACCGAATAGGCTTGAGTTCGGTACACATAACCTGGTTCGGTGCTGTAACTACAATATAATATAGGAATGCACCTAACCTATGAAATGAAGCATATCTATGCATGATAAAATAAACCCCAGCTAGATATAGCATAATAAAGTCTAGGCAAGCTAGCAAAGCCAGCATAAGCGATCGTACTCTCACACTTCTTCTACCGACCCGTCGCTGTTTATTCGCTCTGGCTCCACACTTTTCTTTATCCTGGTCTATGTTGATGACTTGGTCTTCGCTACAGCTGACAGGACAGCTCTGTCTCAGGTGAAGTCTGAACTGTAGAAGAGGCACACGTGCACTGACCTTAGTGAACTGCAACACTACCTCGACCTGTAGATCAACAGGGACACAGCCGCTCGCACCATTACACTCTCCCAGTCACACATGGTGTAGCAGGTCCTTCATTTGTTCAGCACTCCACCAGCCAGCCTACTCCTCTTGTCGTGGACCTCAGACTCACCGCCCCTTTCCTGACGAGCCCTTCGAGCCTAGTGGTCCCTACCCAGAGCTTGTAGGCTGCCTCATGTACCTGATGACTTGTACGCGTCCGGACCTCGCCTTTCCCCTCAACACTCTCTCTTGTTTTGTTGCGATTGGGAGACACCGTCCTGTTCATTGGACGGCTGCTGTGAGGGTGGCGAAGTACCTAGCGACTACATCAGGCATGGGGCTTGTGCTTGGTGGGAGAGAGCCAGTTGTGCTGATTGGTCACTATGACTTGTGAGAGGTCCACTGGTGATCCCCGATTGATCCTAGGGAAGGGTTACAAGCACGTTGGCCTGGGGGGTTATGGGCGCACTCACCCGCTACACAAACAAGCTCTTTTATCCCAGTGGTTAGTGGCTGGGATTCTGACATGGTATCAGAGCGAAGGTCTTGGGTTCGAAACCCGGTGTGTGCATTTTGGGCATCCCAGTGCGAGGGGGTGTCAGAGGTCCACTAGTGATCCCCGATTGATCCTAGGGAAGGGTTACAGGCACGTTGGCCTGGGGGGTTATGGACGCATTCATCTGCTACACAAGCAAGCCATTTTATCCTAGTGGTTAGTGGCTGGGATTCTGACATGACTCTTCATACGCTAACGACGTGGAGACTTAGCGTTCGACCCAGGGTTAATGCTTCAGCTTGGGAGCTGGAGCAGTATCATGGAGGTCTACACGTTCGTTGTCTGTGGCTACGTCCAGTGCCTAGGCGGAGATATATGCTGATGCTATGGCTGCACAGGAGCTTCGCTGGTTGACCTTCTTGCTCACTGACCTTGATGAGGGGCCTCGTTCTGCTCCGACCTTGCTTGCTGGCAACAAGGCCATGATTCTCTTGTGTCGCGAGCCTTTACTGGAGAGAAGGGTGAAGCACATTGACGTGAGGTACTTCCTCTTGCGAGAGCTGCAGCGTCGCGGCAAGGCGCGCCTGGACTTCGTGCCCTCAGAGGGCGATGCTGCGGACATACTGTATTCACCAAGGCCTTGGCGCTTGGTGACCACCATAGGTTCTATGTGCTGTTAGAACTTGATAACACTGGTGCTCGCTTGTCATACCTTTGCTATACTTGTGGTTGCCTCTGTATGTATTTGTGAACTCTTGAACTGGCCTTGTGGCCATTTTTCTTGTGCTCGGAATGCGTGGTGATCTTGAGATCCACCCCGAGCTTGTCTTGTTGCTTCTCTTGACTGGCCTTGCGACCGTTTGTTTGCCTTGCTTGCTTTGATGCCCCTCACTTATCCTATGGGGGTGTGTCAAATGTTTATATCATTTAGATATAATTAGTTATTATAAGCTGCAGTGAGTTACTCTTTAAAGGGTACAACACTTTGTTTAGGGTTGTGCTGCAAGACTCATTCTGGGCTTGTCGAAACTCGCACAGGCCAATGCATGGTAACCAAGCAGTTGGGGAACCCTTGATGTGGTTCGGCAGAGGAAGGTGCGGGAGGCACAGTGTCACCAGTTTGCTTTTGACTTTGTAATTTGGGCTTTGGGCTTTAAGACTTTGTATCCTCTTGCCATTCACTAAGCAATTCGCTCCACATCCTAGGCTATTTTAAGATTGTCCAATACTGATTTACGGAAAAATACAAGGAGCAGCAATGAATATCTTTATAGACGGAGGAGCAAGTAACAACTTAGCTAATACAATGACCGCACGGAAGCTGCAAGTGACACTTAATCAGTGTTTACTGGAGATAGACGCACGCTTAGTCGACAACACGCCTGTGGCCATACGAGAGAAAGTGGAGAGAGTAGAAATCTGCTGTAGGGGTAACTTGGGGTTTTTAAAAGAAATGCTCGCGAAGACACTGGATGGGCACGATAGTTTACTGGGACGTAGTTGGCTGCGACATTATAACCTACGAATTGACTGGACGATGGGTAGCTGCACTATGCGAAGTAGCAGTAACTGGGTCGGCCTATCTCGCTGGCAGTCATCTGAGTCTTCAACCGTCCACGTCAATGCCATCACGATGAAACAGGCTGTCGCCGTTGGAGCTGACGTGTACGCACTGAATATCGCTGTCAAACTTATATGCTATGGTCAATCTAGGCTGTAGTGGGGTAGATACTATAGGGTACAACATTTCTAGGTTTCCTACTTGTACCATTATTTTGCCTAGTCATTTCATTCCTCATAATTTCCACATGGTATAGAGCAGGTTCCCTAGTGGGAACGTTTTCTAGGGCCCACCACATACGAATTTTTTTTTTCCTGCCCGGAGCGCGCTTCGCGCCTGCCCTAGTCGCGCCCCGTGCGCCTGCCCTCCCATCGCGTCCCCTGCCCTTAGCGGCCCGTCGCGCCCCTTAAGGCCCCATCGCGGCCCCTTCTAAGCCCTTCGCGGCCCCTTCGTGGCCCCTCTCACGGCCCTTCGCGGCCCCTCGCGGCCCCTTCGACAGCAGCTGCCGTCGCGCCTGCTGCCACTGCTGCATCCGCCACGGCCGGTCGCCGCCGCCGCTACTGCCGTGACCGCCGCCGCCGCTGCAGCTGAGACAACCGCCGCTGCCACTGCTGTGAGAGCCGCCGCCACCATCCCGGCCCCACCCTGCAGCCGAGTCGCGGCCCTCCTCTGCCGCCCAGTCGCGGCCCTGTCCCTGCCGGCGCACCTCGGCCCTGCACCACAACTTGCGGGCTTCTGCTCACCCGCCCCCAGTAAGCACATCGCCGAGCCGCGCCCCTCCTACTGCTACAACTGCTAACCTTCATCTGCTGCTGCTACTGCTAGCCCGCTGCTGCTGCTGCTGTCATGGCTACCCCCAATGTGCTCACCTTTGATGCTGAGGGTCGGGCTGTCGACTTTGAGGTCTAGGTCGATGATCTGCAGCTTTTCCTGCAGTACGATAGGAAAGACGGTCTCTCCCTGTTCGATCTCACGTCTGGCGCCTCTACTGCACCAACTGCCGATGCTAACAGTACTGTTCGCTCACAGTGGGCCACACGCGATGCTGCTGCCCGTCTTGCTGTGCGTAGTCACCTGCCGTCCACTGAGCGCGCGCACTTTAGTCAATACAAGAGTGTTGAGACCTTGTCAGCACGCTACTCTTCCCCTGCCACTGCTGCCCTTAGTCGCCTCATGCTGCCGTACCTGTTCCCTGACCTCGCCGCCTTTCCCACAGTCGCTGACCTCATTACGCAACTCCGCACTAGTGACACCCACTACCGCGCTACGCTTCCTGCAGAGTTCTGCGCCAAGAACCCCCCCCCCCCCATGTACATCACCCTCTACTACCTAGTCACGCGGCTCCCTAACTCCCTTCGCTCGGTCAGGGACCACTTCCTCTCTGTTTGCCCCACCACACTCACCGTTGACCTCCTTGAGGAGCGCCTCCTGGCAGCTGAGAAGAGTATAGTCGCTGTAGGAGCCTCTCGTGGTGACCATCGTGCCCCCTTCTTTGAGGGGTGCTCCCCCTCCCCCGTTTTGCCCTCTGTTGCCTCTGCTGCTGCTGTCAACCTCGTTGGCACCGAGTCGGTCGGCGCTGCGTCTGCACCTAGCGGGAGACGCCGCAACGGCAAGGGCAAGGGGGGCAAGGGCGCAGGAGAAGCTGGCGGGGGCGGTGGTGGTGGCGGTGGAGGCGGCGAGGGGGTGGGGGTGGTGGTGGGAGTGGTGGCGGCGGTGGAGGCGAAGGCGGCGGCGGCGGTGGCAGTGGAAGCGGAGGAGGCGGCGGTGGCGGCAGTGGAGCTGGTCGGGGTGGCTCTAAGCAGCGGGGCGCCTTCGGTGGTGGTCACCGCCAGCAGCAGCAGCGCACTTGTGAGACCTCGCCCCCCCAGCAGCTTCGTGAGTGGTAGACTGCGCGTCAGCGGGGTGGGGGTGCTGGTCCCTGTGCCTACGTCCTGCGTACCGGCGACCGCACTAGTGAGCCGTGCGGTGGCCCCCACACCACCCAAGGCTGCTTCGGCCGCCTGACGGACGCCTGGCGTCTCCACTTCCCTGACGCCACTAAGATCCCCCACTGAGGCGAGCTCCTTAGGTCGGGGGTTGCTATCTTTGATCTTGATTATGATGCTATTCTTGTTGCCATATATGTTGTGTCTACTAGTGATGAGGGTGACTGTTATCTGTGTTTTCCGATTGACCCGAGCATTGAGGCTTCTGCTTTAGGTGCTGGTGAGGCTGCTACTCTAGGTGCTAGTGCGTCTGCTGCTCCAGGTGGTGGTGAGTCTGCTACCCCAGGTGCTGGTAAGTCTGCTCTCTCAGGTACCACGTCGGCTCAGGTTTTGCACACCTTCACCCTTGACTCGGGTGCTTCCCTCCTTCTTTCGAGATCGCACCACACTCACGCCGCTTAGTCCGCCGGTAGCAGTCTCCCCGGCAGACCCCTCTAGAGGTCCTGTCCTTGCCCACTTCTCCACTGTCTTACCGTGTCCGGCGGCCCCTTCTAGCACCCTCTCAGGTCTTTACCTCCCCTCGTTCTCTACGAACTTGGTGAGTGGTGCTGACCTACAGGATGGGGGGTTGAGAAGTTCACTCCTACGAGTCAGCGAGTGACCCACTTTACGTGTGTTGGGACGGGCCAACACTTGGCCACGTTTACCCGTCAGCCGGGGTCGAGCCTGTACATACTGACTACTGAGTCTCCTCTGGTTGCTGCGTCTGGCCAGGTAGCTGTGTCGGGTCAGGTGTTTGCTGCAACGTCCCGGTCTGGTCCTGAGTCTGCCCCATGCTTGTGTCGTCTCCTGTCTCACCAAACTCTCCTCTGGCACCACCGCCTTGATCACCCCTCCCTGCCTCGTCTCCGAGGCATGGCCTCCCGTGTCCTTGTCTTTGGTCTCCCCCGGTCCCTCCCTCCTCTTCCCCCGGGGCCTGCCCCTACCTGCGTTCCCTGCGTCGAGGGGCGGCAGCACGCCACTCCTCACTCCTCCGAGTTTCCTCCAACAGAGGCTCCGCTACAGACGCTTCACCTGGACGTATGGGGCCCCGCCCGCGTCCATGGACAAGGTCACGCGCGTTACTTCCTGCTGGTAGTTGACGACTACTCGCGTTACACTACAGTCTTCCCCTTGCGCATCAAGGGTGAGGTCACTGAGGTGTTGATCGACTAGATCCGCGCAGCTCGTCTCCAGCTCAGAGAGAGTTTCGGCTCGGACTTTCCTGTTCTGCGTCAGCACTCCGACAAAGGCGGAGGGTTTTCCTCTAACCTTCTGCGAGCCTTCTGTCGTGCACGGGGCATCCGCCAGATGTTCACGCTTCTGGCCTCTCCACAGCAAAATGGGATTGCTGAGCGCCGCATTGGCATGGTCATGGACGTTGCTCATGTGTCCATGATCCATGCGGCTGCTCCCCATTTTCTGTGGCCGTTCGCGGTTCAGTACGCGGCGCATCAGATCAACCTTCAACCCCAAATCTCCTTGCCGGAGACCTCCCCTATTCTGCGGTGGACGGGGAAGGTTGGCGATGCGTCTGCGTTCCATGTCTGGGGATCTCGAGATTTTGTCGGCGACTTGTCTAGGGACAAGCTGTCCACCCGTGCTGTTCCCTGCGTCTTCCTTGGCTTCCCCCCTGACGCGCGTGGTTGGCAGTTTTACCACCCCACTTCGCGCCGTGTTCTGTCCTCTCAGGACGTCACGTTTGACGAGTCGGTTCCTTACTACCGTCTCTTCCCCTACCGCACTGCACCCCTCCCCCCGCCGCCGCTCTTCCTCGTGCCAGGTCCCCCCCTGGTAGACCCCCATCCCCCTCAGAGGCCTGCCCCCTCAGGTGTCCCAGGTAGACGCATTCGAGCCTGTCGAGGTAGTTGTTGACCCTGGTGCTGCCAGGGGTGCTGAGCCTGCGGGTGCGGGGTCTGGGGGTGCTGAGTCTAGGGGCGCTGAGCCTGGGGGTGCTAAGTCTGGGGGTGCTGAGCATGGGGGTGCCGCGACCGAGGGCGCGGAGCCTGAGGGTGCTGGGCCTGCTCGTGTGGAGTCTCGCGGTACTCGGTCTGGAGGTCCTTCGGGTGCTTCGTCCCGCCGGGAGCTACCCTCTCCACAGGAGCTGCGCGAGTGGTTTGCTCGGCGCTGGAGCTGTGCTGCTAGAGCTGGAGGTGCTGCTCGAGCTGGAGGTTCTGCTGCTGCTAAGGGTGCTGGTGCCACGGGTCCCGGAGGTGCTCTAACTGGAGGTATTGGAGCTGCTCGGCCTGGGGGTGCTCCTGGTGCTGGAGCTGGCGGTGCTGCTGGAGTAGGTGCTGCTAGAGGTACTAGAGCTAGGGCTTTTGAGTCTTCCAGTGGTCCTGTTGTAGATGGAGCCGTGGAGGTGCTGGAGTTGGAGGTGCTGCTGGTACCCGTCCTCCTGTGGGTGCTAGAGTTGCTGCTCCTAGAGCTGGTGGAGTTGCTGGAGTCGGGGCCGACCCTGGGGGTGCTGGTACTGTCCCTGCTGGTTCTGGAGGTACTGCGCGGCCACGGCCGTACTTTGTTCCGCTCCTTGAGCAGGTTCTTGGTCTTCCGCCCTCGACTGGTCCTGCTCCTTCCTTAGAATGTCCACTGCCTGTCCAGTCTGAGTCACAGTTACAGCCCGCCTCCCCACTGCCTGCTCCTTCTCTCTGCACTAGTCCTACTGGAGGTCTTGCTGAGCGTCGTGAGCCTGCGTCTCGTCCTGCATTGCCTGTTCGTACTGCTCGCACATGTCGTCGAGTTCCGCGTCAGCGTCCTCCTGCGGTCCCGGGCACGCACCTGATGGCACTGTGTCCTTCCACTGCTCCACTGCGTGTCTCTTTGCCGTCTCTTCCAGAGTCCTCTCTTCCTGCTCTTGCTGACCCGTCTCTTTGTGCTGCCACTCCTACTGTCACGCGTATCCTGGCCACTGTTGTCACTGACCCTTCCTTTGAGTCCACTGCGGCGTCTGCCTTAGTTGCTGAGCTTGTCGACTTTGCTGCTCGCTGTCGTCTTGACTACGCCGCTAGTCTTGTTGTTGAGTCTGAGTCTGTCTGTCCTCCGTCCATCGTGGGTGTGCTCTTAGCACGCACGTCCTTGAGGACAGGCAGGAAGAGTTCCAGTGTTTTGCTGCTGCTTTGCGTCATCTTGTGTCCATGCTAATTGCCCCTGAGGGAGACCCGGATGCACCAGACTTCCCGACTCCGGGCTCTTAAGCAGAGGCGATAGAGGGTCCATACTCCTCTTAGTGGAAGGCAGCCATGGACGCAGAGATGGCTTCCTAGAAGTCCACAGGCACCTACGTGGACGAGGTTCCCCCACCTGGGGCGAACATCGTCAGTGGCATGTGGATTTTCAGGGTGAAGCGGCCGCCGGGTTCCCCGCCTGTCTTCAAGGCGCGTTACGTGGCTCGAGGCTTCAGTCAGCGGCAGGGAGTTGACTGCTTTCAGACCTTCTCTCCCACACCAAAGATTACCACTCTTCAGGTGCTGCTACACATAGCCGCTCAGCGTGACTACGAGCTTCACTCTCTTGACTTGAGCACTGCTTTCCTACAGAGCAGCCTGCACGACGAGATCTAGCTGCGCTGCCCACGTGGCTTCACTGGGTCGTTTCCTCTTGGTACCCTGTGGAGCCTTCGGCGGCCAGTCTACGGTCTCCGCGAGGCGCCCCGTGAGTGGCACGACACACTGAGGACTACACTTGCGGTTCTTGGGTTTTCTCCTTCTGCTGCCGACCCGTCGCTCTTTCTGCGCACCGACACCTCTTTGCCGCCGTTCTACATCCTCGTGTACGTAAACGTCTTGGTCTTTGCTACTGCCGACACTGCTGGACTCGCCCACCTGAAGTCCGAGCTGTAGAAGAGACACACGTGCACAGACCTGGGTGAACTGCGCAGCTACCTTGGCTTGCAGATCACCCGAGACAGAGCGCGACGCACCATTACCCTGACTCAGTCACACATGGTGCAACAGGTCCTTTAGCGCTTCGACTTCACTCACTCTCAACTCTGCCTTTGGATGAGTCCGTAGAGCCGAGTGGCCCGTACCCAGAGCTTGTTGGCTGCCTCATGTACCTGATGACCTGCACTCGACCTGACCTGGCATACCCTCTTAGCATCTTGGCACGCTATGTTTCTCATGGGAGACACCGACCAAAGCACATGGCTGCAGCGAAGAGGGTGTTGCGCTACTTGTGCAGTACGTCGGACATGGGGCTCGTGCTTGGAGTGCTATGTCCTGTGGTCCTCCCTAGTCACGCAGACGCTTCTTGGGCTGACGACCAGGCTACGCAGCGGTCATCATAGGGTTACACCTTCAGCCTTGGTTCCGGCTCTGTTTCGTGGCGGTCTACCCGCACGTCTTCTGTTCTCGGCTCCAGCTGTGAGGCTGAGATCTACGCAGAGGTCATGGGTGCACAGGAGCTACGCTGGCTCACCTACCTGCTGACTGACCTAGTAGAGCCGCCTTGTTCTCCTCCAGCTCTGTACGTAGAAAACAAGGCCATGCTGGCCTTGTGTCGAGAGCACAGACTGGAGCACAGAACGAAGCACATTGCTCTTCGCTACTTCCTTGCTCGTGAGCTGCAGCAGCGTGGTCAGCTGCGCCTTGCTTACGTGGCCTCTCTGGCCAGCACTACTAAGATCTTCACCAAGGCACTTCAGCCTTGTGATCATCATTGCTTTTGTACGATGCTAGGTCTTGTGCCTACTTGGCCTCACTTGCTCACATCTTGACCTTGCTTGTACTGTGATCTATCTATACGTGCACTTGCTTGTTTACCTTTGTATATAATCCTGCATGTGAACTGGCCTCGTGGCCTTGAATGTGTGCTCGAAATGTGTGGTGACGTTGTGATCCACCCTGAGCTTGCTGTGCTTTGCTTGACTGGTCTTATGACCTCTTGTTCTCCCCCACTTTGCCTATGGGGGTGTGTCAAACTTATATGCTATGGTCTATCTTGGCTGTACTAGGGTAGATTATATAGGGTACAACATTTCTAGGTTTCCTACTTGTACCAACATTTTGCCTAGTCATTTCATTCCTCATAGTTTCCACAATCGCAACAGTAGGAGAAGCACGAGCGATTTTTAGAAATTACTAGCAGCTCTACCGTTTGAACCATAGGAATCGTTGAAATGGTACTTGGGGATTTTTCCGGATGATTTATTAGAGGGACTGCCACCTCAGCGGGCACACAATCACCGAATAGAGTTAGAATAGGAGGCACAGCCAACCGTACAGCGACAGTTTAGACTGACACATCCCGAGCGCGACGAACTGAGGAAGCATTTAGATTACCTGTCAGAGAAGAAATCCATCCGACCGTGCTCATTACCGTTAGCCGCGCCGATACTGTTTACACCGAAAAAAGACGGAGGTTTTCGCATATGTATCGACTACCGAGCACTGAACCGAGTAACCATCAAATCGTGATACCCAATAATCTGCGCTGACAAACTGATAGACCAACTGCAAACAGCCCGTGTGTTTTTGAAGATTGACTTACGGGTGGGTTACCATCGGATTAGAGTCGAACCGTCTGACTGCGCCAAGACAGCCTTTAGAACTAGGTATGGGTTGTTCGAGTACACCGTCATGCCCTTCGGACTGACCAACGCCTCGGTGACTTTTCAGATGACCATGAACGAGGCATTTCGACCACTTTTAGATAAGTGCGTGATAGTTTATATCGACGATATCCTGGTCTATACCCGCGACAAGCATCAGCACTTAATAGATCTAGAAGCAGTGTTCAAGATTTTAGACGAAAACCACCTACTGGCCAAAGGTTCGAAGTTTAAGCTTTTTCAGGACCGGTTAGATTTGTTTGGGCATGTGATTTCGGAGGCTGGGGCCAAAATCGACCCAAAGAAGTTAGATACCGTAAAAGCGTGGTGTCCGCTGACGAATCTCACGGAGCTGAAGAGTTTTTTAGGGTTTGTTAATTACGTCCGTCGGTTCGTCCCCAACATGGCGCGCTTAATGGCCCCACTGGCGGATTTATTGCAGAAGGGAGTGGCGTTTACGTGGGGGGAGAAAGAGCACACCGCCCTGCCCTGAATAATGTGCTCTGCGCATCGCCCTGCCCTAAATAATGTTCTATGCACATTGCCCGTACTGCGCATTGTCGACCCCCACTGCCCGTTCGAAGTAGTTACTGACGCAAGCGACATCGCCATCGGAGCAGGATGGTTAGAGGACTTCGGCAACGGCTTAGAGCCCATCGCTTACGAGTCACGAAAGCTGCGTCCGCCCGAGAAGAAGTACCCGATACATGACCATGAAATGCTCGTAGTCGTGCATGCATTTAAGGTTTGGCGCTGTTACTTGACTGGCGTAGACGTGACAGTACGGACAGACCACAAATCACTACAGTACCTTCGCGCACAGCCCCACCTCAACCCACGATAGGTTCGTTGGCTCGACATCCTCGAGTCCAATTTTCATTGTACAGTCACCAACAAAAAAGGGGCATCCAAGAACGCCGATGCACTGACCCGCCCAACTGCCTAGATACATGCCATACTACTCGCCCAGACCAGCCCACTACTGACAGGACTATTTACCCACGGCTATCAAACGGACCCGTTGTTTACAGTAGGCAACTCGCAGCAGTTTGCAGCAGCAACAGGGGTTTATTGCGTAAAAGCCAGCACCAATCACATCTGGGTACCGGGCTACACTTTGCTAAAGGAGCTGTTACTGCAGGAGGCACATGACGGCGTTACCTCAGGACACTTTGGGGTAGAAAAGGCACGGCAACAGCTGAAGCGGTACTACTACTGGCCCAAAATGTTGACCGACGTGCAGCAATACGTAGCATCGTGTCCCACATGCCAACTCATGATGTTATCACGGAAGTGGCCGGTAGGACAATTGCAGCCGATACCACCCCTAGAGTGTGCTTGGCAGCAAGTGACGATGGACTTTGTCACGGGGTTACCAGCTGGGGCAAGTAGGAACTATGCGATCCTGGCCGTCGTCGATCAGTTGACCAAGATGGCACACTTCACAGCCTGCAAAAAATCAATCTCAGCCGAAGATACAGCTCAGCTCTTCTTCGCCACCGTCGTTCAACTGCACGGGATACCAGCGGCCATCATCAGCAACCACGACACGAAAATCACAAACTTCTAGCGGAACATGTGGCAGCAGTTTGGCACGCGACTACAATTTAGTTTATCGTATCACCCCGAAACAGACGTACAGACAAAAGGTACAAACCAGACCATGGAGTAGTTAATCCGAGCCACGTGTGATGACCCTACCACGTGGGAACAACAGCTACCACTCATCGAATTCGCATACAACCATTCGCCATCCTCCACGACTCAACAGTCACCTTTTTACCTGAACTACGGACAAGAACCCACAGTACCCATGACCCTGAATCCCGACAACCCAGTGCCACGCGCACAATAGTTTGCATATATTTTACAAGCAGCACGGACCCAGGCAGCAGACGCTATAAAAAAAACAAACGCCATCGCTAAACACAACGCTGACCGGCACCGCCGTCACGTTGCTAACTAGCCCGAGTCGTGATTCACGTGGAGCTCGCATGATCGAGTTCCTGAGTCGCTGGAAACACCGCATGCCGACCGAAGACTAATGGGTACCCCTAGATAGAATTGAGAACCGCCCCGTCCTCACCGACTATCTGCGCAGCCGCAATTTCCGGGATGTACACGCACTCTCGTAAGGAGGGCCTCCTTAGGGGGGGGGGGGGGTAGTGTAAGGAAATTTCCCTTTCCTTACGCCGCATCCCTTCTTAGCGCGTACATTACTATTCTTGCCACACTAAGCCGTTACCACTCGCGACACTCGCCTCGACCATTTCGTGCCACCTCGCCCGTCCCAACCCAACCTCCCGACTCGGCTGGTAATCCGCGTTGTGGGCCTCCGCTTCGACATTTCCCAACCTCAATCCCAATCTCAGTCACAGGCCCGTCACGCATCACCCACAGTTCGTTAGCGTTACTACTGTGGCTCTTCGCTCTATAGTTCTCGCTCATGCTTTCGCTCAATGTACTGTTTTGCTTCGATAGTGCAATTCTCGCTCGCTCGCTCAATTGCACTCGTAACAGAGTTAAAAAAATCGGCTCTCACGGTAACCATCCCCAAATTATCGCGCCACCTCTCCTGCAATACATGGAAATTCCAGAGCAGTCGCCAGTCATGGCATCGACCGAACCCATGGCATTGCTTTTTAACCCGTTATTCAGAACAACATATTTATGGCGTCAAAGTTTGATCATGAGGAACTACGGGGACATTTCGTTATCAGGCAAATCTTGATGCGGTTTAAAATTGACCCAACCAACATTGTGAAGTAGGTTGATCGCGCCCTATTGTACTACCCGGGTCAGAGTAACAAGTCGAGCTTCAACGATGCAAAGCCCCTCCTCCAACAATTGAGCCTTAAAGTGGGTGAGTCAGCAGTACCTCGATCCCGAACAACTAACCTACCCAGGTTGGGCTTCGGACATATTATCTTGGGGCCCACCAATAAGTTGCCTAGAAAACGGATTGGTACTTCCAAGAAAGTGGGAGCCAAATGGCTTAACGCTATCATTTTT